GTGGGGTGGGGGGTTGGTAAGGGGATATGGGAGGGGGTTAAACATTTTAAAAAATCGTAACTCCAAAATTACAGTAGCTAGCGAAACGCGGTTTTCAATTTAAGATTAGAAATAATATTTGCAACAAACTTTGTAATAACATCAAAATCAATCGTCGCAGTTTTTGAGATAAAAAAAATTGGAAAAATTCCTTTACTATGAAACTAATAGAACTGCCTACCAACTTTTTATTAACATATTTTAGTATGGGCGGCTATACGTGCCTCCCATCGCCAATTTTTTTTATAAACGTTCGATCGGGTAATCACATTTTTTTATTGTGACAAAATAGGTATACTAAAATTAAATTATATGTTATATACAGGGTGAGTCTTAAATAAGTGCAAATATTTTCAGGGGTGGTATATTTCGACCCCAGGAACACACCTATGAGTTTTTTTTTCCGCTAAAAAAAGATGTTGAAAATCGTGCATTTTCTTTTAAATTTCCCTATATATTTGTCGAAAACTTTTTAGAACTGCCTATTCACCGCAAATTTTCCCACGGTATAATTTCTTAATCTCTGATTACTTAGTTACTGATTTACTCTATGGTTACGGCAAAAAAAGGGATCCAAATGCAGAAAATCCGGTGGCTCTCAAATTTTTTTCAAAAAAATGATTTTTTTTAAATTTTCAAACTTAAATAACTCGGTTATTTTGGACTTACATATATCTGAAAAATGGCAAAGAGAAAATATGTTTCTTTTATCGAGATCTACTAGTCCTGAAAATATTTGTACTCATTTAAGACTCACCCTGTATAAATTATATTTTTTTATTGTAATTTTTAATATACAGGGTGTCTCAGATTTTAATCGGGAAAATTTAATAGACGATAGAACTTGCAAAAATAAAACAAAATGTTTATATTAACTTGGAAGATTTAAAGATTCCATTTCGAGATACACGGTGTCAAAAGTTACTTAAAAAAAAATTAAGATATTTGAAAAACTATTTAATCGATTTTGATATAACTTTACCCGTTTATTACACTTACTATGGGACTTAATTTGATGTAATTAGATTTAAGTTTAATTGCCAGGGGCGGCGGTGGGGCATCACTGTTAAATTATTTTAAAGGAAAAAATAAGCACGCCACTGCATAATGTAATTTTAATATACCTATTTCGTTACAATTAATATTCCAAAAAATTAAATATACCGATCGATATTTCATGAATTCAGTGCGCGAACAAACTCAAGGGGGCGCTTTTTTTACTTTCATTTCATGACATATAAGTCAAAATTCTAAAGGGGGATGTTTTGTGATCTTATCAAAGCATCTATGTCCAGTAAGGAGTAACAATATCAAGTTTCATCTCAGTCTGGCCTATAGTCATGCTATAGTTTAGAGATATCGTGATGAGTCAGTGAGTGCAAAATTACTTTTATAAATATAGATTAAATATTTAAAAAAACATATAATTAATGTTGAGTGTAATAATTTAGGCATTGACTATTATTGTCCAATATAATATTTCCCAGCAACCTAGGCCTGCATGATATCGCTGACCGTGGCCACGTAAATCGTTATTTACTCCCTTGTTGCGTTAAATTGCGTAAATGGTGTATTGTAAATGCAATATTGCACGTCATTTTCCGACATGTTTACAGCGGTTCGACCTTACCTTCGCAGATTGTCGAAGCCAACGCCGATTGTAATTGTAATTGAACGAGTTTAACCTCTGCGGACGGGAAATTACACAGAAATAGAAATATGGATTTCCCTAAGGCTTTCGTGTATACAGTGTCCCAAAAAATTATTTTTTAGATTATCTTAATTTGTAACAAAATTATATTTATACTTTTTCTAGAGACTCCCTTTATTGTGAAACTTATTAAGGGGCTTCAATAACTTTCTCCCTCGTGAGATTTGGCTTATCCCCTCTCTTTTATGATAGGTCAAAACAAATAAGTGTACTATATCACTCATATTCTTTCATCATCATTATTTTCAGCTTATTCAACCATTTCCAATGAGGAAAATGCATGTTTTTAAATAATGGTTTTAAAAAATAGTTCATATAATTACAAATTGAACAAAAAAAATCGTTGATACCGGTTAAGAAATGCCTCTAATATAAAATAATTAAATATTGTTAATTTAAATGGCCGCCGTTCTTCTGGTTGAGTGGAGCCAGACGCGTGTTTATTTTACACAGTTTGCTTTTAAACGCTATTGAATCCTAGTCAAAATTTTAGTTATTTGTGTTAATTAATACATAATTAGTAATTAGTGATATTTATAAATAGTAATGGATGAGCGAAAACAGAAAAAAAATGGTCCAAGCCCATGAGAAGAGATGAAAAGAAAAACGTTAAATTATCCTCTATTTTTACGATTTATTGTTGTGAAGATCATTTTGATGTAAGTTCATATATTTATGTATATTGTCTTACATAGGTATATGAAATTTGAATGTACAGGGTTATTCATTATATTTTGACACCCACATACAGCCTTAACTGCAAGTTTTTGAAGAAAACATTAAATAAAAAAGTTGCATGGTTTTTCATATACTCTCTTTTAAAATTAATTCTAGTCATACAGGGTGTCTCAAAAAAGGTGGTCAAAAAATTGTAGGAATTTTTCGCTTTTCAACTGTAAATATTTTGTAAACATTTGAAGATAGGTATAGGATATTATACATGAAATATATCTAGAATATCTAGAAATTTCCGAAGAATCCAAAAATATATAGGGTGTTTCACTTAAAAAAGTAACTTAATTTTGGCGTTTGCTTATGGGCAAATTTTGTATAATATTTTGAAAAACAATTTATTTCCGATAACAATTTATTACTGATAAACAATTTATTTCCTATAATTTCGTAAAAAAAACAATCTTTAAAAATAACAAGGGTAAGGGGGTGTCAATATATAAAAAAAAACTTTCTTTTTCACGCTATGCTCTGGAGTTACTTTTCCACGTAGTAAACAAATATTTTTGTCTCTTTTCACTTCTACATAACCTACAGCATTATCTCCATACGTTTCACTACCTGATCTGAAAAATAAGTTTATAACATTAATATTTATAACTATAGAAAAGTTTGTAACAGTAGGTACCTACTTATACTTAAATATGCCTCAGTACTACAAAGGATAAATGTTACATACCTCTCTGTTTTTTCCTCGTAATTCAGCACCAATAAATTGGGAATTTGTATTTATAAAAGCAGCCAACATAAAAGCATCGACTTTTGGCAAGTTATCTGATTGTGCTTTTACAAACCCGGAATCTGCCATTACTTAAAAAATTCTCAGAACACATAACACATACAAATAATAACTGCACAAAAAAGCACAAAAAGCTCCTTCAATCAACGCTAAAAGCAACAAAAATGTCTTAGTACGCCACCTAAATATGTACATAAACGGAACACGTCTGGCTGCTGCTCATCGCGCGTCGACGAGAATGGCGGGTGACGTCAGACCAATAGAATATCGTTTCAATTCGCGAGGCGTCGTTTGCGTTATCTATAGTATTTTAATGGCCCGTTTTATAAAATTGTGGTACTGCTTTCAAGAAAAAAGTTTTTTTTGCATTTTTACATATTTATTCTAATAAATTGAACAGTTTCTGGCGAAAAATAAAATATATGCATCTTCCTCATTATGGTGTAGCCTCCCTCGCATATTTCGATACTCTCTTTGTAGATACTCTCTAGTAGTTGAGTTCTACTTTATTGTTGTTTATCGTTGGCTATGTGGGCCCAAGTTATCTCTGCTAATTTCCTAATATCATGGTCCCATCTCAGGTTTTATCTAATCTGCTGTAATGCTGCTGTAATTTTTGTGGTCCATCTGTTATCCGTTATTCTAGCCAGGTGTTCTGTCCGTTACCATTTGGGGGATTTGACTCTGTGGATATCTATTACATGGGTCTTTTTTCGTATCCAGTCTATTTTTTACGGTCTCTCTTGGTTATTCTCAGCATATTTCGTTCCACTGAGCGTTGTATCACCTGCAGTTTCCTTATGATGCCCGTCTTAAGTGTCCAGGTTTCGCTTGAATAGGTGGTAGTACACATTGGTCGAATGTTTTCTTCTTTAGATAGAGTGGTATTCTAGATTTGAATATGATTAAGTTTCTTCCATAAGTACTGAATGCTAACTTAATTCTTCTGTCGATTTCTGGTATGTAGAGATCCCGAGCTGTGTATTACTTGTCCCAAATATCTGCTATTTTCATTGTTGTATTATTTATTGGAATGTCTTTTCTTTCCACTAGTTCGTTGTATATTACTTCAGTTTTTACTAAATTAACTTTGGGTTGGGTTCAATTAATTTAATATGAGCAAGCAAATTAATTTTAATTTGCTTGCTTATATTCTTTATCGACGTTTATAATACTAGAACTGATTTTGTGCAACAGTTGATCTGTTTTTTTAAATCTCTCTCTCTCTCTCTCTGTCTCTCTCTAAATTGAGTGAATACTAGATAAAGCACTCCATAATACTTGTAGCTTATACAGGGGTGGTAGATTTCGACAAAAGAAACATATTTTCATTTTCTCTGTACTATTTATTAAATAAGTCCAAAATAACCAAGATATTTTACTTTGAAAATTTAAGAATTGATTTTTCGCTTAAATTTTAAGGTACCACTGGATGTCCTCTGGTTGCTTTTTCTTGTAATATATTATTTTTTTTTAATTTTTAGTTAAAAAAAATTAATGGGAATTAATCTGGAATCGAAATACACTATCTCTAAAAATATTTGCACTTATTTACGACTCACCCTGTATAGAAGTACCACAGTATACGAATTAATAATTAATTAACTAAATATAAAAAAACATATTTTTTTAAAATTATTTATATGTATTTGAAAGACTCTGTAACATTATTAATAATGGTACTCATGTATTTTATAAATCACTAATCTGTTTGTTTATTGACAATTTTAGTAGAAATATTATCTTTGCTATAGATCTACGTATTTTTTGGTGCTAACAAGTAACAATTTCAATAAAATCCCATATAAATGAATAATAACTATAACTGTAATTATCACATTTAAACGAACTCTGTGTAAATGGTCCCATCAGTGAACTTAATTGACTGTATCATCACAAAGAATAAATATATAATGAGGGATTTGAGTATATAACACTATATTTTATACGCGCTATATACTAAAACATCGATTTTTATCTATTTTCGCCATGAATTCAACAATCTTTTCAGTCATATTATTATTAGTTTTGAATGCATTAGGTATATTTATTAAAAAGTTATGTATAATCTTTTTAATGTGATTTTTTTTAAGAACTGGTTGTTGGTCAGGTCCAAACTAGACCATATAGTTGCGTACTGCCCTCTGCATGTCGAGACAGCGGAAACATTATTGATCCTAGAATTCTGAGTCCAAATGGTGGTATTTTTCCATCGGCAGGTGTGTCCAGTGGTGTTGGTAGTACTGGACCAGGAACTGGACCACCAGGAAATTTTCCTGGTAGTGGAAACCCTGTGGTAAGCTTAAATAAATAGTATACTCTTAATAATAATACATGTATTAAGTATTAGTCAAATTCATATTTCTAAAAAAATGTTATAACTTTTTTTAAAGTAACAAAATTCAAAATTTTAATTCAACTTTTTATTTTTAAATGGTTTTCTCGCTATTTTTTACTTTATTTGAGAGAAAATGATATTTTGAATAGAATACCATATCATATGTCAACTTATGACATTTTTGCTTGAAAAACAGTATTTTATTTTTCAATCTAGAGTGCCATGGATGTGTTAACTAATTTTTAATCAAAGAACCTTGGGAAAAGATGGCTCAATCATATTTTTAATCATAACTCAATTTTTTTTCAAAAGAAATTAGGGTGGATCATTTGGAAAAGCATATTTGGGAAAATAATTTTCTAACGAATAATTTGTTACCACATGCTTGGTATTTAGAGTTAAATTGGCTTTATAAACAAAGCCATTGTACTCTAGATTGAAATTTAAACTACATATTATTTTTTTAAGAAAAAATGTCAAAAGTTGACATATGATGCGTAATTCTACACAGAATGCAATTTTCTATCAAATAAAATAAAAATTACCGAAACTACCGTTTAAAAGCAAAAGTTTTAGTAATTTCCGTTGAAACAGGAAATTACCGAAAATAATTGAATACGTCAATCCAATCCTGATTTATATCCTATACTAACATACCAAATCTCGTTTTTTTATCTGAAAAAATAAAAAAGTTATAGGGAGTGAGCCACTTTTGAAAAACACCCGGTATAGACATTTAAAAACATGAAACGAACTCATTGACTCTCTTTTCAGGTGAGTATTGTGACTCCAGGTCAGCAGCAAACTGACTGCCCTGCGGGGTATGTGAGATGTACCAACGTAATTTGTGGCACTCCAACCGTACAGCCTAGTCCACAGGACGGATTTGCCACGCCCAATGCTTTTCCTTGGCAAGCATTTTTACGTAACAACAACAATCTCAATTTTCGGAATGGGTATGCTGGTGGAGGCGTTTTGATCGATCAGTACCATGTCCTGACTGCAGCCCACAAAATAACAAATTTGTAAGTTTGTCATTTAACTGCTAACGTGCAGTCTGGTATTGTAGAGATTGTAAATAGTTATTCCATGGTGTCTCCCTTTCTTGAGTTATAATTCATCATACAGTCTCAGAGGACATTGACAAAAGCCAGTATCTGAAACAGGTTTGAATCAGTCGTACCAAAGTTTATGGCACGAATGGTTGTCGTTTCGGCGCACTCTGTGATGAGGTGAACCACGATTCGCCGTTGTTTTTTGGTTTCAATCTACTGACGTGTTCATTGAGGAGACAGTGTCCTGATAAAAAAAAACTGTAACAATCCAAAGAATGTTCTTACTTTCTTTTTCTTCTAGTGCGAATCCATTAATGGATCTTTGCGATAACATTTTCCATATGTTAATTCTACTACACATTCTAACATTCCTCAGCCAAGACATTTTCTTTCTTCCGATGCCCTCCGGCCTTCGATCTTGCCTTCGATTAACAGATGCAAGAATTGATATTAGGTATGCGGTATTTTTCTTCTTAATCAATTCAAACAATTCGCGCTGTTTGCTGACACGTCTCAGAACTTCCTCATTTGTTAACCTAGCCGTCCAAGGTATCTTCAGAATTCTGCGATATACCTACATCTCGAAAGCCTCTAATTTATTAATGGCAGCTGCTTTCAATGTCCAACCTTCCATACCATAAAGGAGCACCGACCACACGTAACACTTTACGAATCTTAATCTGAGGTTAAGGTGAAAATCAGAACAGACAAGTATTTTTCGGAACCTCAAGAATGCCTGCCGATCTTGTTCGATGCGACATTTAATTTCCTTGTCTGATGTCCAATCTTCGGAGAGCCAGATGCCCAAGTACTTAAATTTATCTACCCTTTCTATGGGCCTTGTATTAAATGTTATAATGGAGTTTTTAATCACATCTGGATTTCTGGATATTATTATAAATTTAGTTTTCTTGATGTTTATGTTTAAACCCATTGCTTTACTCTGTCCTCCTACCTTGTTGACCAGTTGTTGTAGATCGTGTATATTATCTGCAATCAAGACCGTATCGTCGGCGTAGCGGATGTTATTAATCCACACTCCGTTAACTTTGACTCCCATTTCCACGTCCTCTAGAGCCTCTTGGAAAATAGCCTCTAAGTACAAATTGAATAGGAGTGGAGACAGCACGCAACCCTGTCGCACCCTCCTTCTAACTTGTATGGGATTGGACATGGTATTGGCCAATTTTATTTATGCTGTTTGGTTCCAGTACAAGTTTCCGATGCATTGTATGTCTTTTTGGTCTATATCAAGCCTTTTGAGTAGCTGCATTAATTTGTGGTGTTGCACGCGATCGAATGCCTTTTCATAGACTATGAAACACAGGCACACACCCTTTCTCTGATCGTATCAGTTCTGGACAAGCACCTGTGTTGCAACTATCGCTTCCCTTGTACCTAACCCTTGCCTGAACTTACTTTAATCAAGAAAAATTTTGAGATTTCTCTCGATCGTAAGTCTTGAGAAATTTGTTCGAGTGTCTTTTCTCCGTTGGAGTATTCCCATTCCAGGATACGGATGGAGTCTTCCAGGTTCTTGAGCTCTGCTTTAAGTAGCTTTCCACTTGGGAAGCAGAACGGTTCTGGACCAGTTAGTGGAGTGTTCGCTCCTTTTCCACCTAGATCGTTTGCTTTTCCATTACCTTCTATCCATTGGTGGTGTAGCACACAAAGTAGAAGGGCTCTATTTTATTTGCATAATTTGTTAAGTTTCTCTAGACATTCTTGGACCCACTTAGAAATGATGGTTAGTGAGTTGATCGCTCTTAAGGCTGCTTGACTATCGGATTAGATGGCTATTTATAGTTTCCGATAGTTCCTATCTAAGATAAATTGTACGCATCTTTCAATAGCGTAGATTTCTGCCTGAAAGATGCTGGGCTTCTATCCCTGTTTCTGCTTTAGTTTTGTAAGCATCAGTATACAACGTTATGTGTCTTTTTACTGCTGAGCAAACGATTCTCTCTTACAATTCTTTTTCTTGCTCAATAATACAGTGAGACTTTTCTCAAAGTTACTGGTGTACCAAGCTCCTGAGCTAGACAATTCTCCTAGAACTGTTTTCGTGAATGACCATTCTAATCATGTCACAGTAGGATATCTAGAGAATGTGCAGTGGTGTTAGGCCTAGAACGACCTCCACTGCTGTTGTTGAGGTTCTCATGGATCCTGTGATGCATGGCGATCCTGTGATATTATGCGGGGTTTACACGAGTCGATTTTCGCCGTGCGGCAAGTTGCTTCGACAACGCCTTGCCAAAGCCGCATAGCTTCCCCATTTACACAGTCCACTGAAATCCTAAGCGACTCAGCCTATATTTTTTTGAAAATGTTAAGCAGAGCAGGTGCTTTATGTGCTTGCATTAAAATAATTAGTGAATTAATTGCTCAGGAATTTCTTAAAGAGCAAAGAAAGAAGAAAAGGAAAACATTACACCAGCTTTGACTTTCATGCGGCGAGAAATCGACTAGAACTGAAGCATTTTCACAGTCGATTTTAGTCACCCGTTCTTGCGTCCAATGATCGCGTGGCAAATGTCGGATGGTATCCTACTTTGGCGGTTGCGATTTTAGTCACTTAATGTATAGTCGATTTGATATTTACAAGAACGATTTTCGCTGAAGGGCCTAATCGTGCGGCGAAAATCATCCCGTGTAAACCCCGCATTAGAGAACATACGATTCGACTAACTACCAATTTGAGAATAATATTGAAAACAATGTTTACTTCCTACAATATACCTACTTATACCTACTTATAATCTTTATCTTTATTAATAAATATCTGACATGTCTATTTAGTATTTAAGAGGTACGCTCTGTAAAGTTGAACATTATTTAATTACGAGATAGTAAAATCTCTCCACTAACACATAAAACGAACTGGGGCACATACCGTACTCTATGTTCCTTCAAGAATCTAGCTTCATTTAAAAGCAAATTCTCTGCCGTATTATTTGTACTGAATGAATGAATGATCGTCCTTAACACAGTCCATTAAAAATGTACCCTCTCTTTCTTAATTCATTAGATTTTATTAAAAATAATATTGAAAACATTGTCTGTCTGTCAATACCGAGTTGAAATTAAAAGCATACACTCAAGTTTACAGTTCTTTGAAACTTCTAAGTTAACCTAAAAAAGATACAGCCGTTTATACCGCAAGAAACGTATATTTTGACACTTTCAAGGGAATCAACATTTATAGGGTGTTTTGTAAGTGATACTATGTTAAACTTGATTTTCGTGCATCCGTTATCCGATGATACGATAGTGATACGGTTTTAAATTTATTGGTTCAATTTAAAGACTTCGATTGGTTAGAAAATTACGCACTTTTTAAATCTATTTCATTTTCACGCCTCCGTTCATCGGATGTACGATTTGCTTGTGATTGGTGTCATTTTATATTTTCATTTCCATAATGATTTCGCTGTTATAGTTATAGTCTAAGAGCCAGCAACGTTTTCGAGAGATAATTTTAAGAAAACTGGTTCTTTAATATGTATTTGGTTATACTCTCCTGAACAGAATGTGGACCGTTTGGCTCCGGTAGACCTTGCGTTCACTACTGCGCATCATATCTGTATTCGACATCTGTTCACTACTACGCATCACAAATTTGCCCTGTATTTCAGGAACTAAGGAGGCTAGGACAAACATATGTGTAGCATATTTAGTTTCATAAAAATGTAGCAAAGTAATGTGAAAATGGCATCATTGTATCTCTACTATAAACGAGAAATCCCATAAAACACACGAAAATGGGATATCCTGTACGGATGTGATGTGCAGAAGTGAATCGCAGTAGTCTACGGTGCAGCCAGACGGCCCGCACTTTGGTTAATTAAGCATAGCAAAAGATATATTAAAGAACCAGCTTTCTTAAAATTCTCGTTTTCCCGACGTTGCTAGCTCTTGTACTATTATATTTTTATTAAGGTTAGATTAAATTTGTCAAAAAAGTGTCAAAACGTCCGTTACCGTACGATCTTTCTCCGTTGACGGGCTGGAGTAAAAAATTTACGGATGAAAAGTGGCGCGAAAACGCTATGACCAATCAGAGAGCCATCGGACCATCGGCATTAGTGTTTTCGGAACCGGAAATTTCGGTACCGCGCCTATTAGGAACCGGGATTTCCCGTTTTTTCAATACTTTCGGTACTGACTAATTTTTGTTCAATGGTGGTGCTGTTCATCAATTAGAAATCAAGGGATGGTTTTTCAAAGTAAAATGGATATAAAATTGAGATTTTCAATGAAAATAATATCAAATTATTAAGTCATGAGAAAGTAAACAAGAACACAAGCGAAAAAAAAATGATAACACTTAGGTAGCTTAAAAATTACATCATACAACATCAACCAACCTCGATACCAACTTAAATTTGAAAAAAAAATTATACATTTTCAATTAAACATGCAAATGCCTATAAAAATATAACACAAAAAAATATAACTAATACATTTAGCAATATTATACTAAATAATAAAATAACATATTTAAACTTCAATAACTGCTAATAAACATTATAGAAACTTCAGAAGTAAGAACAGTAAGGGATGGCATCACTACTTATTTAGAAGAGTTTGATTTCGACCGCTAGAAAGTATCAAAAGACCTTCGTACGTAACAAAAAATATGTTCTTAATTATTATTACAGAGTCCCGAAAGTACCGAAAGAACCGGGAATTCCCGTTACTAATCGGCATCGTATCAACGAATAAGGGACGCATAAAAATCAAGTTTTATACTACTTATTTGTAATTAAATTATTAAAAATAATTTAATTGCATATATCTACCGAATTTCAGAGTATCTTAAGAGTGCTATTTTGGATATTGCGGGGGCGTTTGACAATATACCACATTAGGTGGTCAGGCGATCTCTAGAAACAAGAGGGGTGAACAGAACTATTATTCGCTGGTTTTGGGAAATGCTGTCAACACGAACAGCAGAGGCTCAGATG